AAAAAAAAAAATTTGCCATCCGTGGTTGGTTGAAGCCACAGATATGGAACCCACGGATGCGGAAGGTTGACTGTACGCTGCCTTCACATGAAAATATCTTCTCTAAACATACTGGATTAGAAGTAATTTTGAAGTTGGGTTAGGGATTGCTGTGAGGTTAATTAGGTGGATTTTGTATCGGTGTTTAGAGTGTCTTTGTTCCTAGCTATTCACGTGCATGCATTTCCTATCCTTTCTATTCCTTTGGCTTTTTAGACATTATACATTAACACAAGGTGAAGCTTTTTGATAACATGAGGCCATGACTGGTACCATCTTTTTCACCATCTTTTTCTGTGGATTGGCTTGCAAAGATGGATGTTACGTACAGCCGATGGCCGTCATCCTCCCACCCCCACTAGCCAGCCCCACATCCACTCTGACTAGCAGTTCTGCTCAGCCTGTTCTTAGTGACTCTTGAGGAGTCTGTGGTTGGCCTGGGATTCTTCAACTGGAGCTGATGGGCCTCAGATTTGTGAACCCTCTGAAATGACAAGCAAAAGTTTATATTTGTTTCTCTCCCCCAGCCCAGAGTGAGTTCATCGGTTTTTATCAAACTTAGGTGGCCCCAGCAGAGGTTAAGAGTAGCTTTGCCCTACCTGTCCCCCCAGTCCGTGATCCACAAAGGACCTGAGGACCTATCCTATAGAGGAAAGAGAATATTGGCTTACAGCAAAGGTGGGCATTTATGTGACTTCAGGGGTGGGTGGTATTGTTAAGGTGGGGGACCTCCTGAGGTTGGCTGGTGGTGAATATTTCCTACACAAAAGCTTTCCAAAAAAATAAAAATAAATGCTGGTCAAGCCTTAGCTGTGGTAGCTTTTGGTAGCAGCTTTTGCTGTAACAAGGAGAAAAAATGAGGTATCCCTGACTGGATGCTGGTGAAGTTACATCTTTTAAGCATCCTTCCTGTTATACAATGGGCACAGCCCCTTCCCCTCATATGCCTGGGCCTGCAAGGATGGTGTACGGTCAGCTGTGGGGCTGTTTTTTCAGAATTCAAAGGGAAGGCTTCCTCTTGTTGGCCCTCCCTGCACGGCAACGAGTACTGTGCACCCGCCCCTCTCCAGAGGCCCTATTGCAGTGGCATCCGGGTCTGTGCAAGTCAGTGGTGCTTCTTCTCTCTCTCCTTCTTTTGATGGTCTTTTTTGTCTCTTCTCTGTTGCTTGTGTTCTGCAGGCATCAGACCTAAACCACTTGGACCTGTCAACACATCTGTGGCTGCCACTGCTGCTCCCAGCACCATGTCTTCTGTTTTCATCTCTATCTTATCACTCCTGACTCACACCTCTGAGCTTTTGTGAGGAAAGGATTGGCCAGCCCAGAAAGGGATTCCTTTCTATCTGAGGTGTAAAAGAGCTAATCACCTCTCTTTAGGTGCATGTTTTTCACAGGGGGGCGTCTTTCAGCGTTAGTGAGGCCCCCCCTTCACCATCATACAAATTGTATATGTGTTTGCAGTGGGGGCAAGGAGTGTTGCTGTTTTGTTTTGTGCTTTGTGTGTGTGTGTGTGTGTGTGTGTGTGTGTGTGTGTGTGTCCAGACCTGTGAGTGAGAATTTCAGAGTGCTGTGATCATAGACAGTGCCTCTACTGCGAGGAAAACCTTCTCCAAACCCATGCGCGGGAGCCAACGGGAAGGACAGAGACCCACTTCTCTTGGAGTGACATCCATGCTTCAGGGGTGGGTGCTGAGTGAGGCCAGGTGTCCGGGTCCTAACGGGTGATCGCCACCAACATGTAACCTCTGCTCTACAAGAAAAGCAGCGTGAAGACAATCTGAACCCCACTGTCCCGGCCTGCCCGGCCCTGCACAGAGCTCCAATCCTGTGAGTGGGCACAGATGGCGTAAGGAAGCCCCTCCCTCTGGGACTCACTTGCCTTGAACGGAGCCTCTATGACTCAGA